AAGCGCTGCCTGAGTGGAGCGGTCAAAGCCACTCAGAGTACCTTAGACACTCATCTGAGTGGAAGAGTAGATATGGGGAAGGAGTCCCCCGTCGTTTTTTCCATCGAACTTTCTCTATCCCTAATAAAATCGTTGCTTTTAGGATACCTTCGGGAACTCATTCCCAGCTATGAGTAGGGGCATAGCTTGCCGGATAGTCGGTGATTTCCCATCTCTTTATTCTATCTACTTGACACTCTATATATCTAGTATAAGTTTCTCTACTTTATTAAATAACTTCAATAATAGAGTAAATTACGATTATTTGTAATTTTTACTTAAAAACAATATTTTTTCTACTAACAACTCTGAATCAGTGTATATAAATTTGAGGTCTCTAGCTAGCATAGCATCATAAACAGGAAAAGGAAAAACTTATAGATAATTTGAGACAAACTTGATCTGCGCGTAGGTTTCTTATGGTTATGAAGACAGCAGCTTTCATGCAGACGGAGATATCACAATGCTAATCAAGAATATTTAATCTGTATACAGTGGTTAAAGCCCTTTTAGCGAATTGAGTTGTATATTGAACCAAAAACTTGAATATAAGGGATTAGTGTAAGTGTTTCTCTACGTCTTAAGAGGGGATTATATCCTATCTTATGCAGTTTGGAGTGTCACGCAAGCAGTTTTATATACATACGTAGTACAAATATAATTACTATGAATGGGTTGTCGCAAAACTAGCTCAATGAAAACCATTAAACGTTGCTTAAAGCGGTCTTAATCAGCAGCATCGTGCACGAAGATCAAGCCTTAGCAATTGGCAGACATATGCAGCTATATCACTTGCAAGCCGGTGACTAGATATAGGGAATCAGAGACACAGACACATTGAGATATATGTAAATCTATATTGTGCCATCTTGTAAAAGTGCGCCTTTGAGTGGAATACAATATGGTTGCTGCTGTTATGCAAAAGCAACAGAATGCCAATGTATTGACGATCTTATAACGAGATATCCTTAGTTGGCTTTCTCATATGGTGCAGGTTGCAAGGTCCGGCTTTCAAAATTGAAAGTTCTGCTGGATGGGGTATTTAGTAAATAACTGCAACTTATACAATAAGTACGTATATAGATATTAACATAGAATACTGACATAATAAGTATTTGTAAACATATAACTCAACGCAACACAATTACTTTTGGTAAATTATCAAACACACATATGTACATATGTAAGTACATACAAATGTGTACAAACATGCACGTTCAGAAGAGCAGACGTCAAATTTATAATATACTATTAACTTGGTACTTAGTACTTACACTTCTTTACTCAAAAGTCAATAGAATACCACAACAATACTTTCAAGTTTTTTAACTAATTGATAAGATAAAATTAAATTATCATTTTGAGTTTTGTCACAACAAACTGAACTAGTTAAATTAAATGGAACGAGTTTCATTTTGCAATTTTGATTGTTCATGTTTCCATCATTAGCGTTTAGTACATCGCGTTTTAGAATTAGCGTTTATCGATAGACAAATAATATTAACTTAATTTTAATTTTATTTATTAGAAACGAAATTCCTATCAGTGTGCTCCTAAAAAGCAAAAAAAAACATACACCTAAAGCCAGCAAAGTAAAATATCTTATAAACAAATAAAATATACGGCACCATATACCAAAAATTACATTAAATAATTTATCGAACTTTGTTAAGCATTTTACACATATCATACAACTTTTTTAATTTTTTTATTTCTACTGCGATGACTTTAATTAACATATTAAAATGCGGAAATGTCTCAGGTAAATCAGTAGCTACGCTAAAATTGTTGTGCCATAGAAAACCTGTTGCCGTTGGTATTATCGGCAACGTCGATATTTATTTTATATGTGGTAGGGTGTTCGGGGGTATTAGGCCGAGCGCATAGAAACGCCCAAAGAGTGAGAGGGTGGCAACGTCATTTAGCCGGCATACGGATATGTTTGAGATTATCATAGTTTCTTATTTAACAATTCATCAAAACTTTTTTCGCGAGGCACAATTATATTATTGGCTATAATTTATTTTATTTTCCCCCAAAAGCTTTGCGAGTTTGGCTGTTTTTTTTTTCTGTTGTTGACATTGGCGACATTCAATAAAAAGATCTCTGCGCACAGAGGTGCGCAACCTCCGCTGACTGCAACCAAAGTCAAATTATTTTTAATATGCTCAGCAACGTGATTGGAGCCAAATTTGGCGCACGCATACATTGTGGTCACCGTTGCTACCCATATGCAAAGCTGCATATATCGGTCAACGGCTTAGTTGAAGGCCAAAGGCAACCGATTCGCATCCCTCCTCTTCTGTTTCGTACCGAATCGGGTGGGCACTCGCCACAATTTCTTCGCTTAACGTAGTGGAGCGTGGGTTTGGCGATGCGTTATTTGGGCGCTACTGGTTCGCGACCTTAATCATACAATAAACCACTATCGACCCTGCCAATAATACCGAATGCAACAATGTAGATACTCCATACTTTATGTCCAAAGGTATATCACGTCAACAACCACTTCTCTTCAATAAAGCCATTAACGGGCTTTATGGATACGATGAAGGGCATCAACGATGTGCTTATGCCGCCAGGAAGGAACACCGCAGAGCACAACTCCGCGCACGTGCCTCCAAAACCAATCCTGCCCGACTCTGAAACACAAGCGGTGGCTCGTAACGTTTGACGGCCAGGACACCATAAGCTCCTGACTACTGACTCTTCTACATCGCGGATTTCTCCACTTCGAAACCGTGGCTTTTGAGGCTGCCGAGTACCGGGAACTGCTAAACGAGGACACCAGCTAACAACAAAGGTTAGCGGATTTGAGAGTGCAGAACGGACTTCTGTTCAAAGCAACGACGCACAAAACTTAGGAGGATGAGGTCGAAGGCACGAATTGAAAACTCTGTGTGCTAGAATCACTGACCGCCGGGCTCATCCAGAGAGCACATGCGGACGAAAGGTCGGGTCATGGATTCATTAGGAAAACGCTGCTCGCGCTGCGCAAGCGGTATTATTTGCCCAACATGGCGACCCAAGTTCGGGACTTCGTACTGAAATACGATATCTGCAAGAAGACTAAGACACTGAATTATGTGAAGTAGGTCGGAATTGGGGTGGATGTGTACGCACCGATCGTCCCTTCCAGAGGGCATAGCAAGTGTCAATAGCGGCAAAACCAGCTACCAGCAGCGTACACAATTAGGCAAACAGTACGGTACTACTCCACACCGGCTCAGAGAAACAGGAGGCGACGCTAGCTAGACTGGGATGGGTTGGAACGCCAACAGGGCTCGGAATGACCGAAGACATTGAGAGCCTAAAGTTGACACACGGCAAGGACACATTCTCGGCAAAGCAGCAGACCTACCCGAGGAGGTGATCTCGGTGGTGCAGCTGACAAGATCCCCGTGGATGTGCAGCTGGGTAAGAATCCCGAGAAGATTATCCCGGGGATGCATCTGGGTAAGAGGGGAACGCATTGGGGTTGGTCGTCAAAACAGGATACCTGCAGGGAAACGGGGATTCAGGGTTCGCAGCACTCCGGAGCGCGAAGCTAGGTAGAGTAACCGGATCCAAAGGGCAGAGTAACGTTTCTCGCACCCCATCAGAAGTTGTGTTGGTAGGCGAATAAGCCGTGGGGAAGAACACGCGGGAGCTCGCAACGAAGCTAGTTATGGTGAATTGTCTGATGAGAGGAGTCAGGACAGTGAGGACCAGACCGGCAGACCTGAAAGCAGAAAAGCAACTGCTATTGAAGGAGCTTGAAGGCGTATCCTATATAGACAGTCATCGGATCATGATAAAAGGTAACGAGGTAAAAGGTTATCGATGAACAGGTGGAGGAACTGATCCGAACGGGTGCCATTGAGGCCTCCAGAAGTTCGCACAGCGCGCCGGCGTTTTATTTTAACGCTGAATCTGAAGCACGAATACTGGCAGATACCAGGATACCAGTAAGCAGTACACACCTTTTACGGCGACAGGCAGAGGATTATACCATCAGACGAGTGATGCTCTTCGGAGTGTTGCCGTTCAGACATTCCAAAGGGCCTTGGACTCCGAGATAAGGGCAGAGATGGAACCTTAGGCATTTGCGTAAGTACACATAGGTACTTCATAGTTGCGAAAAAGGAGAAGCTCGTGGCCAACTTAAAGGGAGTTCCAAAGGCTAACGGGGAGGCTTACCTGAGACTGAATCGGAAGTATCCGTTCTTGCGGAAGAAGCTGGTGTACTTGGGACACGCGGTGCGCGGCGAGTCTATCCGGACAGACCTCATAAAGGTGTTGGCAATTCGAAATTTGAGCGCCCCTGCAAATTACAATGAGATTCAATGAGATGGTAGTTCGTGACGAATTTTTCATCTATCGTGCAGTCGATGAACGACCAATTGGGGAAAGCGGGGTCATCGGTTACGAAATAGCAAGCAGCGTTGGATCAAGTCAAGGAGAATTCGATGACAGCTTCGGCAAGAAGTTCGCACTGCAGAAGGACACGAGCGACTATGGTCCCAGCGCGGTCCTTACGTACACGATCGTTGAGGAATAACGGGTATTCACGTACGCCAGCCGGAAACTTTTGATGGCGGAGATCAACTATTCGACCTCGAAAAGGAGTGCCCTGCGATAAGGGATTTGTTGCTGATTCCTTTGTTCTTGTGTTTGATTTTGCGTTTGCAGACCAACCCTTTTTATTAAAGATTTAGTATAAGACTATAATAAAAGCATAGAGTAACTTCCCATTTATTGGTCTTACTGCTTAATCGCAGTAAGTGATTTCTATGACTAGCTTAACTGTTTTAAAAAATGAAGGATTTATTTTTTGAACTTGTCTTATTGGAAACGTTTACACCTGACCTAATGGAATGACATTCGCATTAGATTTTTTTCAAAAAAATACCTGCACAATAATTGCAGTTACATATAAATGTTTAAATCTGAAATATATTTAGTCCATACTATAGGTTAAATATTTTACAATCTGTCAGCAGACTTATTTTTTAATGGTTCACACATACAATTACATAAAACATTTGAAATATAAAGTATAAATCTAGACTTAGTTAAGGAAATAAATGTGGGTTAGCCATGTAAACGAGGATCATAGTCAGCAGTGTGTACCTTGCTAATATTAGCCATGCTTTTATTAAGCTCCACTAATCGTGGCTTCTCTTGAGACACGGCTGCAGCTGCCTGATTTTTCGGTCCAACCATGAAGTATGTGCGTACGCGAGGTTTTTCGTGCTTTATAGAGGGGTCATTAAACTTACTATTGCTTAGTGTTTTGTTGTTGACATTCGAAGTGGGCTTTGGTTTAATTTGCCACTTGGTTACATTTGGCCGCAATCCAGCAGGTATCATGTGCGACTTAAGCTCAACCTCCTTGGTATTGAATACCTCACAGTCGACTTGCATCATCATTATGTCGCCATTTTGCGATGGTTCAGCTGTAGGTAACAACAACGACATTTTCGGACGGGAACTTTTATTAAAAGTTGACGGCGATAATAGTATGTGATCTGTATTAAATGAGAGCACATAAAATGTATCGTCTTGTCGTTTAATACCTTTAAAAAGATGAATGGGTTCGCTGTCATTAAGCGTGTTTTTTTTATTATGACTGGGTATATCCATTTTCCGTTGCTTATGCTCAATATCTGATATCTCTTTAAAGCCTAACAAACTTTTACGTTTGCCAAGGCGTGCAGGTTGTCTTTCCATATCAGGTAATTCCAAATAATCTGTCGAAAACTTAAAGCCATGTGAGTTATCCTGATCAATGTTAAATTTTGTGTTCATGCTCAATTTTAGGTGTCCACTGGCATTAGCTAGTTTTTCTAAATGAAACGCCAATCGAGAGTATTCCGACTTGTTGTCACTAGAGTGGGACGAAGCACAAGTACCATTACATTTTGAAGGACTTGGGTAACTCAAAGGCGGCGGATCGTTTGCTCTATTAAACTTAGAAGAGACCGTAGAATTCCAGCGCTCACTTTTTGTAACATTATGACTTCGACTTGTGGGATGTAGAAAATGTAAAGGTGGCATCGCTAAGTCCTCTGGCTGACGATTGCTTTGGTTTAGCTTCTCGTTGTACTCCTCTTCAGATTCCACCCAAAGTAGACGACGACTAATAGGAATTGGGTCGTTTACATTCGATTCGGACACGACAGCAGTGCTTTCCGCGTCATGATTTTGGTTAGTTAAATATGATTGAAAATTTCCAGCATTCAGAGTGACCATGAAAGCCATTGCAAAAAGCACGGCAATATTCTTTTTAACTGTAGCTGCATTCATATGCTGCTTAAAACTTTTCGAAGTTGGTCTTGGAGCGATTTTTACGTGTTGGTCAGGTCGAGAAGTTGAACTTAAAGAATGCAGTACAAACTCACACGCACTGCCTTTACGGCACTTGCACGTTTTGGCATAAGCGACAAGTTGGTTTCGCAATGACAAATTTTCCTGTAAAAAAAATATTTAAATATTTTTAACAAGAAAGAATAGGTTTCTTCGGAATGCCGAAGGTTAAACACCCTTGCAAACATAGATGTTCAGCATATTTATATTATTAGGTACTCAACGAATAATTTAAAACCATTAATTACTATAGCATTTATCATATAGATATGTCCTCTTGGGAGATGTTACATATATAGTACTTCAAAAATTTTATAATTCCTAACCAAACTTGCTTTGTGACTTAAGGGACGATTTACCAGGTTTACGAATTAATTAATAAACAGAGACAAAAAGTAACAAACGCGGATGGACATTGAAGTATCGAATAAAATTTGAATTCTAATTATATTTCATTTCATATAAATGAAATGAGCTTCGTTTAACTCTTGAAAATAAATATAAGGACTCGGGACTTACCCCTTTAAGTGTATAGTTCTCCTTCTCAAGATTATTTAATCGGGTCTCCAATGAGAAGACATATTCCTTTTTTTTTTGTCGCGACAATGAAGCTGATTGACGATTTTTAATCATCCGTTGCTGTTTTTTGTACATCTTCTCATCTATCGTTCTTTTGAATTTGTAATTTAAGGGTTCTGGCTCCATAGAGCTGTCACGGTTACAATTGGAATGTGATATATGATACGGATTTTTAAGCAAGTTGGAGGAGCTGCGTGTACCCGTTGGACTCGTTCCATCGACCATATGTTGGTGGCCTTTTACCTTACCATTTCCTGCCTTCACCACGATTTTTGGGATTTGTGTTTTGACACTTCCATTAATCTTAGTTCCTTTAGAACCATTCAAGTTAATTTTATCCATGAGTGCCTTGTAGTCATTCGTGGAAAGGAATATAGTTTTAGTTTTGCCGACGCTTTCCGTTGAAGGCTCAATTTGCATTTTGTCTCGACAGGGTTTTTGCGGTTTCGCAGCTAAGCTCTCATCCATATTAACAGGAATGTGAACTGTGGCCGGAACCTTTTTTAGACCTAAACTAGTCGGAGCAACGACTGCCGTATTGGCTATAGAATTCCCTTTTAATTCCTGATTATTGTGAGCCAACGATGAAAGCTCATGCTTTTGTAAGCTTTTTTCAATACTGTCTTCATTTTTAATGGCAAAACTTTGAACATATGGCATTGGCAACTGTGAGACATTGAGCAAGGTAGACGGCATATAATTTTGGTCTAGTTGCCTATTCTGCCATGCATCTGAGGTGTCGCTGTGCACTCCACTTGTCGAACTGCCACTGAAACTGTCACAACTTTCCGTAGGAGATGGAGTATCTCGATCTTGTATGTGCTCCATCAGATTACCACATGTTAAATTTTCAATTTCTGTAGTATCATTACAAATAGTCATCAAATTTGTCCCGCTTTCGGATGCTTCCACTGATGAGGCTGCAGTCCAACTTTGCGTGACAGCTTCCGAATTATTGTTAAAATTGAGCTCCAAGTCATGATGGCTAGTTGGCATTGTTTGAAATAAATCGGAGAACAAATTGTCATTGTGTAAAGAAGTTTCACGAGCTTGGGGTAAAAACGTATTAAGGTCCAACGACGCATCTAGATGCGACACAGTCGAGCTTATGATCTCGTCGAAATCATGATTAATGCCGTAGTCATTGGGCGACGAAATAAACGACGACAATTCGTCTAAAAGAAATAAAATTATTTTATAAAGTTAACCATATATCTCAATACGCATACATATGTGATTTTGTTTGTCCTAAATCAAACAAAATTACATAAACATTGATATTCAATTACAGGACGGGCACAATCGACTGCGCAATTCTTCACAGTATAGCAAAACCTTAATCTAGCAAAAGTTTTCCAGGCGGGAGTACTCGACTAGGATAACTAAGATAACCTATCCTCATTTTAACGCTTAGAACTTTTGCTTTATCCATAAATATGCACGCATTATTAGATTATTATATAAATATATTTATTGAATTCATTATTGTTATTTAAATTGTTATGTTCTAGTTCTTAATACTGCTAAAGGTGAAATAATTTTAAGAAATTAAAAATACTGATTTTCTTCCGATTGATATATAGATCATGGTCAACGCAAGAGAACTAAGAATCTTAATTTCTTCGGCAGCAAAAGCAATTGCAGTATATAACAACACATGCAAATATGCAAAGCTACCCATTTCGTTTTATATTTTGTGAAAATCATTGGTAGATTCAGTATGAAAGATTGAAATTTAAGTTGGCCGTGTTGAAAAGTTGACCTCCTGTTTAACACAATGTTATTATTATCATTTAACTTAATATTTATGAATTGTATAGTATATAGGTAAGGTAAACAAACATATTTATTAGCCTTATATATTTCTTTAAATATTATTATCCTTCTATTCATTTTGAAAACTTTCAAAATCTGTTTTTTTAGCCAATTTAGATAGATACACTTACACATACAAATATAGATGCATTGTCGTCCTGATCATGATAGTAGATATTCTTTATCTTTATAAAAGATAAAAGACTTATAACTTGGAATAAAAATATTCTCGAATACTCGCCTCAGATAACATGTTAGGATAATATAGCCACACCTAGTGGAGCGGACACTACTAAAAGGCTCTTCTAAAGATCGATCCAAAAATGTAAACATTCCCTACGATCAGTGGACGCACTGGTGAAATCAATATACATATGTATCTCAATACATTTAAACCTTTTTTTAGAATGAAATGTGTGAGGAGTATTGCGCTGTCGATTGCACCCGAATATACACTCGAGTGTTGTTGCTGCTGTAAAGCTCTACAGATGGCTTAAATGCGGGGCGTAGATAGAATTGTTTGCCTATCCATAAGGGGATAAAAACTAATGGGCTGTTCTTTAAATGTGTAGGTTACGTCGATAGTAGCAAAGTTGGCCTATTTGCAATATTCACTAGCAAACAGCCTATAAATGCAGACTACCATTCGGCTTAAAGGTGTAAGCCAAGCATGGTTATGTGCATATGTTTATGTGACTTGTGTCTTCCGCCTATAACTTGAACAAGCCAAATTGTTTATTCCATAATTACAAGCAATTGATATACGATGCGTTTATATGTACGTACCGTACGTACAGCAATATTCCATATTTTTATTGATGTAAAAAACTTACCATAAAAGCATTCGTCCACATCCATTTCATTGACGATTATTAAAAATTCTTATCTTTTAATTAGATTCCCATACCTTATTTACGCTATATATTTACTCTCAATGAACCGAATCCCCATTCAACCAAATTGTTGACGAAAGCAAAATAGGAATATTGATGGTATTAATGTAAAAACATCGTATAAAAATTATCGATGTTATCGATGGTAGCTTATCTGTCATTATCAATTCAATTACCAACGTCTAACAAACTGTTTCCACTTTGGTTACGTCCTCATACAATAGATTCATGTTTGTGTATATTTATATATTGTCGTTACAAGTTTTATATCTATAAGTTTTGTAAAATCGGTGGATCGATTTTAAATTGTGTTGCATTTGGTATTATCAGCAGCATCAATATTTGTTTGCTTATTATTATGCTTTTTTTTTCTTTTGTATACATATTAAAATTTTTATAATTTCATGAAAATTATACAATTGAAATATACCCTGGCCTTGCCCGTGGAACGTATAAAATATATAGGCAAAGAGCCAAACCTCGTGGAAATCGGATGGGATTTGACCGAGTTATGGGGGTGGGAAATTTCGACCTATGCCTATCTAGGATATTTGAGGATACCATTATGACATAAATTTTGACCAAAAATAATGTTGCCAGATTAAGATGCCAAATTGATCTTCAGGTCAAACCATGAACAGAAAGCCAAACCTTATGAAAATCGGAGGAGATTTGAGCGAGTTATGGGAGTAGTACATTTTGGCCTATGTCTATATAGCATATTTGAGGATACCATTATCACATGAATTTGACCAAGAATAATGTTGACAGATTTAGATGCCCAATTGATCTAGAGGCCAAACTATGAACAAAGAACCAAACCTCGTGAAAATCAATTGAGATTTGAATGAGTTACGGGGGTGGGAACTTTCGACCTATGTCTATATAGGATATTTGAGGGTACCTGTTGTCATGATTTTTGACCAAGAATAATGTTTCCAGATTTAGATGCCAAGTTGATCTAGGGGCCAACCCATGAACGAAGAGCTACACCTCGTGGAAATCGGTTGAGTTTTGACCGAGTTATGGGAGTGGGAAATTTTTACCTATGCCTATATAGGATATTTGAGGGTACCCTCATGAATTTTAACCAAGAATAATGTAGCCAGATTTAGATTATGTTTTCACCAAAATTCGGCAATTACAAATTCTGCAAGCCCATATTCCCAAATTACACAAGGGTGATCAGTCTGCAGCGTGCCGAAGATATTCGTTTGTTATTGTTGCCAGCAACTTCAGCCAAACGTCTTACTGTGCGTTGTTCGGTGTGCTTTATGGCGATGTAAACTGTTTTGTTAAACTGTTGAACAACTTTGACACCGTTATTGTCAAATATATACATAGATATTTATTGATTTTTATTAAATCTAATTAAATGTTTTTTATTGCTTCCCAACCCTTTTAACAGTTTTAGAAAAAATAATACAATTCTCGTAACAACATATCCATAATTATTTGTACATAATAAATGATTGATTTCGTGACACTTGAAAATAAGGATAGAAGGTAAATTATTTCATAGTCAAACTTAAAAAAAAAGAAAGTAATTTTAGTATTCATTTTTATCCTGTGACTGAACATCTTGCACGTTTTTTAACTAGAACTTTTTTAATTCACTTTTGTATAAAAGCTAATGTTAACGTTAATTTATTCAAGAATAATGATATAAGAACTGAAACAATTGTAGCACTCTTGGATCCTTCCAGCTTAAACCACGAAACGGTGTACATGACTTGGGTTAACGGTTGGGCGGCGACCACTGCCACTGATATTTTTAGAATTTTGAATCTGAGAAGACCCGGGTGTCACCATCTCATGTACTAAAGACGTTTTCTCTACCCGCCGATGCCCCCTTTTACCCTGAAAATAATCGAGATTATAACAAAATATATTTGTGTTTTATTTGAGGAGCATACCTGTCGAGATTTTTGGTTACGGGACTCCACGATAAGACTATCCGGAACCTGAAACAGACTCTCACTTCGAGTAATCAGAATATTTGTTAGGCGGCAACATAATGCAGCCATTTTAACTTGGTCAGCAATGCAGTTCTTATCGATCGGATGTATATAACGTGGTGGAAAAAATGATGGTGCAATAATCGTGGATACATTATGTAAATTCATCTTATTAATGTCTTTCAAATCGATAATAAAGTTGAGAAAGCGCAAAATCGAACGAAGAGTGTTGCGGTTTTCATGGGGAAGCATCTGACATAAAATTGATAATGCTCGTATTTGGTCCATTGGGGGTAATGCGTGACATTGATAGAAAAGTTGTATTAGTTCGCTTGTAAGTAATGGCTGGGGCAGCTCACGTAACCAACGCTTAAGCAACGCACTTAGCTCATGCACACTGGCATTGCCAAGCAAATGTGCGAATTTTTCTGGCTTTTGATAAAAACTTGATTCTAATTCGTTGTAAATTAATTCAGTCTATAAGTTAATAAAACAGTATTAAAGAAATCGCAGTAAGAATTTTTCAACCCACCTTCTGTTTTTGTCCAGCTACACGCAAAATACCCTCTTCTCTTGCCCCTCGCTTCATCAGTTCCTCAAGTAGACCTTCTAGAAATTTCGGTACTAATGATGAGTCCATGCCAGTTATTTGTTGGTCACGACGTATAAGTGCATTCAAGGAAACTCCAAACAAACTGCCCTCCTCCTTGCGACGTCTCTTAAATGGTTTTCGTTTGTCTAACGACACCTGATTCCGATCAAAGATTGTAGCTAGCTCCAGCCAAAAAATGGGCTGCAAACGTTTCAGTTCCGTTTCATTTATTATACTAATATCGGAGCTGTATTCTTGTAATATTACGCTGCTGTCTACAGTGTCAATGCCATTCTGACTAGAATTTTCTCGGCACATATTTTCAAAGCTGATACCGTCTCTTGATGACGGAGAGTTACTCAATTTCTGTTGAAGAGGTTCTAGGTTAATTTTGTTCAGTATCTTCTCAGGGGACGACAAAGTCGATGACATAGGCGCTGTGTTTGGAAACTCGTCGCTAGAGTCACCAGATGAAGTATTGTTTTCACTCTGTGAATCCCGAATAAGTTGACCACATACTCGCCTGAAGTGAGCAAGTCATATTACTGTACAACTGGCGATCAATGATTTTAGCACTGACTACTTACCCAATAGAGCAAGAAGGATCTGAACCAGAACGATTACGTGGTATATGTATAGTGCCAATGCGCGAAAATCCGAGTAACTCAATACCTTCTGAGGAGTACATAGGTATGTCGCAGCGTACTTGGGATCCACGAAATATATCCGTGGATGTGGAACATTTGAGTGGGGCACTAGGGGTCCGCCGAATTTTTTGCTTCAAGTGCTTGTTAAGCGGCGGGTACCCACTGGCATTGTAGTTGGCAGTACTGTGGTCAGAAATGCTAACAAAGCTCGGTCTGTAAGAATGTAAAATAATAATATACGGTAAACTTAATTGAACACAACTTACATTGAAGTATTGCCCCATACATCGTCTCCGTGCACGGAATCTAAAGAGTCTGGTGTGGCACTACGGGATCTAGTTCCCGTACTAGACTCCTGTCAATTGTATATTTAATGTTTATCTTTGAAATGTTGTCGATTTGTATAACTTATTTGCTAACTTTGGATACTTACGTCAAAATCGCGAAAGACATCGCGTATATCAGGTTTGCGTTTTGAACGGTTTTTAGTACGCCCTCTTACAGTGTGATTGAGCGCCCGAACTCGCTGTTTAATCGCCTCTGCGTGGGGCCTTGATAATGTCGCCAACACTGGCTCAAGATCTGTAGATCGCAGCTCGATACCCTGGAAAATAATATAAGTTTAAAAATAAATCTAAATACTATCTCCTTGCTTGCATTCCTGAAACAGCCGACTCTGAAGAACCTGTCATGTCAGGCCAAGCGACAATATCAAAAACAAAGCTAAGGTTGAAAAGATTTAATTTAAGACCTCTTATATTTATATTAGAAAGCACAAGAGAGGTGCATTTCCCATTGACGCTGCAACCACTAGGCGCCACAAGAGAAATGTGGTAATAAATTAGGTTCAGACTTATTTTTTGATTTGTATTCTTTTCCTATTCAATATTCCAACCATAACTCTTTACAACAGACGTGTTTTAAAATTTCGGATGAAGATGTCATTTGATTAGGCTTATTTAAATTTTATCGCCGTTTTAATTGAAACTTGAATTTTTGCCTATATAAAGGCTTTTACATCATCAGCCAGCAGTTTAGCTCAAAGTCAATATACTCTTTTCGGGGTTAAGAATTATATTTATTTTGCTTACCTGTTCAAAAGGCCGTGTCAATTCTGGATATCCAGCTGAAATTAACCATTCGGCTTCCATTTCGCCATCTGTGTAAAATACATTTATGAATAAAATATCAAAATACCCCGCACCCACTTTAAATAAAGTAAATATAGTATATTTATAGTTAATTTGCACAGTTGGCAAATGTATTTTACCTATTTGTATGGGAGCAGGAATTAATTATGAAACGCTTACCTTCATAATGTGGTTCCGGCTCGTTGCATGTCAAATTAGTCTGCAACAAATATTCGTTGAGAAACTCCGTATAGTCCTGATCGCATGTGTTGTCCAAGGAAATATTGCTGTTCATTTTGCTAATTTATATTTTTCTGTGATAAGTTTTAAATATGGCATTCTGTTTAATCAATCACAAAGCGCGGAAAGTATGGGTCGCCGCATTACAAATAATTCATCCATATATTTTCGGTTATATTGAGGTATTGTCACTGGAAGCATATACAAAAAAGTTTAAGATTTAGATTTAATCTTAATTTATCATATGCCTGCACTGGCATTCATATGTTGTAGGTTCAAAAAGCAAAGACAGATACTGAAATTCACCCACTTCTTCACATTGGAGCGGTCCTAAGTCATATAACAGTTCCATTGTCCCAGTTCTACTACAAACTAAATAAAACTAAACTTAAATGAACTAAAATACAAGGATTGCATAATTTCAGTCTAGAAATCGGCTTAATGTCAAGCATTTTAGAAGCCTTTTCTTTTGTCTTCCTAGTTGTCCAAAGTTTTTTAACGATGGCCATTCTGCTTTAATTCTTGAATAGGCTAGATTGATCTTACAAGGTCGTGGGCTGAGATCTTTATGTAAAACATATAATTTATAATATCTATAATTTAACAATTGTTTCTTCGATATATATATGTATATATATATATATATATCACTACTCTACCCTACAATCAGTGGGTAAAGTGTAGACTTGCTAATAACAAGCAAAAGCCAAAGTTATCCCGGATCTGGAGGGCTATGGAGATTTATTTGTGCATCAAATTAAATATATGTATGAACATATGTAAATGTCAAATAAATGCAAATATACCAAGCTTTATTTGAAAGTTGCTTAGCTATTTATTTTTGTTTATGTATGTATATATGTACATATGTATATGGGATAACCATATACTACCATATTCAAATACCTACGTATAAACAGACATGCATTCATACACACATACATATGTATATTTAGTTACGTAGTGGAGAGAGTGAAACATGTACATACATACATAGAGATGAACTTATGAGTAATTGTATACATACATATGTATGTACATAGAGTACAACGCATTAATATTTATAAATTATCACTTTTTGCTTCAAGAAGTACATAACTACATACATATTTATAATTGTATATATATATGTATGTAAATCCATATGCACTTGACTATGTGGTTAAGCAAAAAGGGAAATCATATTTTAGCTATGTTATACTTTTCTTTCACTTCCTATGTATATGTTTGTATGTTCACTTGCTTTGGTACTCTCAATAATAATTACATATGTTCATATATGTATATATGCATTGGTATATATTTGAATGTATAAATGTAAATACATATATAAATATTTTTGTATGCACTTTTGAGGATGTATGTATGTACGTATGAATATACATGTATACATCTGGAAATAGGTATTTTTACATTTACATTTGTATATGTAGTCAATATTGTAATTATACACGTACATATGAATGTTAAAATTATGTATGTTATTAGAATCCGAACACATGCAACATTTCGAACCGAAAATTAAAAATGGACTGATATACTAAGAATGAACAACTTCAACTTCACACATGCACGTTTGTATATATGAATCGATGATTGTACATGAAAGTAAATGTATGCATGTGAACGTATGTGTGTGTTTCTGTATATATGTATGTATGATCGTCGACAAAATCAGGTTTAAGTTGAAGCGTGAGCAACAGGTTTGCATTAATGTAAGCACGAATTGAGCCCGACAAAATTGTCGAAATCATTATATCGCTTTAAGCTGCGATGGTACTCAAAGCATTGGTTATTTGTTTGGAGTATTCTTCGAAATGATAGAATGTTACCCTGTAGTAAACATTGAAATAACAAATATATAAATGGATAGAAAATGTGAATTGAATAGAAGTATTCCAACAATTGTATATGTATGTGGCTCAGAGAGAAGTACACATGTAGATAGTAATAGTACGTTTCTACTGCATTTGGTGTATGGTTCCAAAAATATCGATAAGTCTCAAAAGACTATTTTAACTATTTTAGTGCAAAAGCAGACACTTTAATATATCATTTTAACACGTTCAATTTTTTAATTACATATTTTTTGTCGAGTTTTTCGATTGACAGTGAATTTAAAGCTCTAAAATTGTTTTAAAAGCGGATATATATCGAGTGGCCAAAGCCTGCGTTCATTTATAATACGGAGATTTTCATGCTTAGCAGCCCACGCAGGCCTACGCAACCATAGAAAAAGAGCACTATAAACATTAATATATATACATTTCAGGAAAAAAAAACAGTTTAATTATTACAGACAAGTTTGCTTCTAAAAGATTCAGATTCAGAGGCTGCGCCTGACGCCGGCTCTTTGAAGTTGACGTACCGCGAGAAAAAGATTTTTTAAACTTTCAACGCGTTTCGGCTCTCCTGGGCGGACCGAAGGCAACGATAAGTGCACGCGCTCGGACGATAAGTCCCTAGGGTTAAGCATGTCATAGAAGTTGAAGAGTATACATATACAGGATGGCCAGCTATGGAGCGTGGTTCAGCATGGTGCCAGTTTAGCTGGTTCTTCAGAGGCAAAACTAAGTCCGTTCTTAAGGCTAAGATCTGCTTCTGCTGTTGAGCCCAAAGGGTTATGGCAACTGTTTTACGGTTAGGCTATAAGCGGATCCCATTTACTAGTGGGTCAAAGGGCGTCAGCAACCTTCTGCATGTCTTATTCTTATTGTCTTATTATCACTTCGGTGGCGAAGGTTGGCAGTTAACCAAAACTACCCCGGCGAGCATCCGCTCGCACTATCTGACCATACGGAAAAGAACTAAGCCTTTGTAACGACCCATTACATGACCGTTGCACCGTTTGAGAAAATGGCTAAGCAGGATTAAGAGCTCATTGCCGGTGCGTCAATAAGGAAGTTGAGGATGTGCAAGCCCCGTTCTTTGAAGAGCTGCCACTCGGCGTGAGAAAACAGCCATACGACACCCCTTGAAGCACCTCGCTGGGAACCCGTTGCCGCTCAAGCCAACCTGCGAACCGCGAGCTGAGCTCCCGGCTACTGAGTCGTGGTCCTGCGAGATCCCGGAGCACCTCGCCGTGTACCCGCCGCCGCACAAACAATCCTCTGCTGGAGCTCAGTCTACGAAGATTTCTGCTCCGCACCGATCATTCATCGCTTAAATGGCGTTACAACTTCCGGGAAGCCGAAGGCAAAATTGGGCGCTGGATTGAACGCCTGCAGCAATTTGACATAGATATCCAACATCGCAGTGGCAGACACCACGGAAAAGCAGACAGCCTTTCTCGTCTGCCCTGTGGCGTGCGCCGCATATGCGAAAAAGCCGAGCAGAGCGACAATCAAGGTGTCGTGTTCCTACAAATTCAGTCAATCTACTATGATGCTTTTGTCTTGGCTGAGCAAAGAAGAGCGGCCTTCCTCGACCATCTTGGACGAGAGCCCGGAAATAAAAGCTTACTGGCAAATGCTTAGTACCCTGTGCTTAGACCAAGGCGTGCTGATGACCAAGAGTAAGGAAATCGACGCAGTGGCCACAGTGCCTTGCTAACTTCAGGAGGAGACCCTTCGAAGAGTACATAATGCTAGCAGTGGAGTCCACTTTGGTGTCAGTAAATCGTTGGCCAAACTGAAGAAGTGCTACTATTGGATTGGGCAAATCCAATGGTGCGCTCACGGCCCGAAGTGTAACGACAGGAAAGGACCTTCTCGCCGCACGGTCGGTCGGCTGCAGCTCAGTTCCATTGGCACTTCCCTCGAGCGTGTTGCGATCAACATCCTAAGCCCCCTGCTCATATGCTACTTTACCAAATGGCCAGAGTGCATCGATCTCCCCAACCAAATGGCTGAAACTGTAGCACGACCACTTGTACAGGAGGTTTTTTGTCGCTGTGGCGCCCCACTCCACTCGGATCAACGCTGAAAGTCGGAAGTATTCCAAGGATGCCTTCGATTGTCCTCGCTGCTGCCACTTGCGCTCTTCCCCTCACAAAGCTAATGGAAGTTCGTCTACCCTCGGAACTAAAGTTCGATCACCCAACGCCCGACGCAGAAAGCTATCCCGCTTTAGTCGACCATTTAATGGAAAACCTTAGGAAATCTCACCAAACCGCCCGCCAATATTTGCGAGCGGCCGCAGAAGTAAACGAGGTGCGTTACGATCTACGTTCCCACTCCACCGAGCTTGTGCTCGGCGACTTCATTTGGTTGAAAAGCGCACGACGAGGACGGTTCACGTCAAGCGCCTTGCCCCTTACCAAGGACCAACCACGAATGTCATTAACCAGGAGGCTCGAGTCACAGCTGAGCTATTATTGAATCGTCCCATTCCACCGTTCCTGCTTTGTCGCTACCTTCATTTTTCAGTTGACCCGCATTTTCCATCTAAGCGCGGTGGATTTCGAGAAAAACGGAATCAAATAAATGTTCTCAAATATCTTTGAATGGTGGCAATGGATATAAAATTAAACGAAAATATACCATTATAGAAGCTATATGTCAAATTTGGTGACTCTTTTAACACTTAAGAGATTTGCTCAAAAAGTGCGATATAGATTTTTATTGATTGCTTGGAAAAGGGGAAACTTATCGATTATCGAAAAAAAACTCCGTAGGAAGACCTAATTTCAAAATTTGAAGTCTCTAGCTCTCAGAGGTTTTGAGATGGACGCTTTTATGCATACGGATGGACGGACGAATAGACTTTCAGACAGACGGACATGATTAGATCGACTTGGATCTTGATGGAAATTTGTATGATATAAGTATTTAATCAATGGACCTTAAACATATTTTTAAACATCTATGCAAAATAAAGATTTAATTTGTCTACCAACGGGAAATGGGTAAAAAGTTATATATAAAATTTTAAGCAATTAACTTGTTAAGTGCAAGGCCGGGGAATGCCCGCTAGTATTTATATATCTATGTGGTTCCACTTGGGTTTATGAAACATTTTGTCTTTTTCAACTAGAAAAGACTGTTTTCTTATTAAATAACAAGTAAAACTAAGAATTTACAAGAATCTGATGGATATAAGGATGGTCAAAGTAAATTTGTCTTAGATAGATACATTTTTTGAAAACTGACCATAGGCCATCTTGGGTTTCACAAAGAAAATATTTACAATTGCATCAAATTGTGACAATGTTACATGCTGCATAGCTCCGATTTATAATATAAGAAAAAATAAGTTAATATACAAAATGTGCCTCAACATAAACAAAGTGGTGCAACATTTGGTGTTGCCACATAGTCTTTCATATTCTATAGCTATCGCTCAAACATATCGAAAATCGATAAGCGTGTTGTTATTCAGTTTTTAACAACTCACCACGAAAGACTTCAATGGCAAACAAGTTTTGCAGTTATTTACAATTTTCCGTTCATAGAAAAACTCAACGCGCTTCTTTATTTCTTTTGGACGCGTTTCTGTACGTTTCGTGACATTTACATACATATTTACAACCAAAAGCGATGCAAGTGTAACTTTAAATAAATATGTACATGCATTTACAGATGCATTTATATGTAAATATCAAATTGTGCGTAATTAATTGATAATATCGTGCCATATAAACAAAATGTAAGGTACATACATATGTCACATAAACAAAATATATGTTCGTGGATATAAACAAAGTGTACATACTAACAAAATGAATGTATGTATCTAAATCCTATTTAGGTTTGATAAATTGTAGAAACATGCATATATAAACAAAGTGTACATATACAAGCAAATTTTATTTTACCATATATGCACGCATATACATAAATATGTATGTATGTGTAATAAGTATGTAAGGTGGTAAATACATACGTAGAAATGTATGCTTGCCGCTTTCTCAGGCAACTCAAGAATGGTTTAATATATACATACGATACAAATGCGTATGTGTGTATACATGTTTTGAATGAGCAGGCCTTTCTTACCGTAAACAAGACGCACAGTTAATATACACACAAACAAATGTATGTATGTATTTAATACCTGAAGGTATCAGGAGCAGCACCATCAACGTGCCTAACACGCAAACAAATTTATATAAATATGTATGTATGTCGGGCACGTGTGCTAAATCTTACAATTGATGCTTGCAGTGACCAATTACAAATTAATGTTAATAAAATGTATACATACATACATATATCGTACTTTTGTAATTTGTAACCATGAATTGAATGAATGCAAGCGTATTATGTGTGAAAGGGGTGAGTGTTTTGTTGCATTTAAATATAATATTTGCGTCCACATCGATCTGGCAACATAAGGATTCACAATTACAATCACATATCTACATTCATACATACACATTCATGATTGGTGCCAGTTTTCTGCCGTGTTCTTATGGCAATGTGTGTAAAAATGATTAAATGGATGCACATCAGACACAAATGTCGCATTTACATAGTGTGCGTGTACGTTTCACCAGGATTGTATATATGTATGTATTCAGCAGCATCTACAATGCTATTTAATCCAAAGATTGGATATTTATTAGAATATTAAATATTGTTATGCAATAAAAGGATTTAATAAACTAGTAATGTAGGTTTTCGTATATGCAAATCCAGAATATTTACCGCTACCAACTAAATTAAAAAAAAAAACTCATTTTTAGAGG